TTTGGAGGCAATCAAGATTTTTCAAGACTAGGTTATCTTCAATGTTTGAACAAAAATTGTTTGTCTAAGTCGTGGTGGTAACCTTGATACGGATCGTGGCTCTGGTAAATGAATGACCTTTTGTTCAATCACTAGTTTTTAGCATCATGGACATAGTGTTATAAAACTGTTGAGCAGCCAGACCCCTGCTAAACGCCTTGTCCTCTACGGCTTAGGTTTGGCACCCAGTATCATTACAATAGAAACATTTGGTAAAGTTGAGGATTTGTAATGAATATGTGGAGATGTATACCTGATGAACAAAGTCATTGAACGAAAGTTAAAGCGTGTTATAAACAAAAGAACTTTCCTTTACCGAGGAAGCAAACTGCATCAAGGTTGCTGCCACAACTTATACAAATTGTCTTATTCAAACATTGGCTCGAACAACTCAGTTAATTTAGCGATATAACACTAATTCAAGCCCTCATTTTCATGTTAGCTCCTGCCCTAACAAGGTGTACAACTGTCATGTAGTGTTTATTGGATTAAAAAAACTTTATTTTCACGCCTTGCTTCCTAATTTAATGCTCATCATTTGTGTTGATGCATTATTCATTCTTTTCATCAGGCTAATACTTCCACCATGGTGTTCAGAATAAAGTGACGTGTACTCATTCAGCACTCTGTCATGCACAGTGACAGAGTGCTGGATGGGTTGAGGCTACTGAAACGACAATGAAGTCCTAATGCTCTTATCTAACAGCTCCTGTTTCTCGCTCCAAAGGGGCTGCTGCAATATGTTCCCTGCCGCAAGTAAGCCTTTGCAGTGGTCTACAATATGCTTTGTCTTGTGTAATATTTCATAATATAATGTAACATTTTTCTGTTCACTCCCCATAACTATCCATGGTGTTAGTAGTTACAGAAATTGTAGCCACACCGTGGCAATACTCAAACGGAATTTGTTGTGACAGTGTATAAATTCTTTCGCAGTTAGAATATAGTGTGTTAAACGTTGAGTTCTTGTCTACCATAGCAATGGGTCTTCGTAGCATCCTGCTGCTTGTTCTGCATGTGATCATTTCTTGTCCATGAATACCGTCTGCTTTTGTGATTCATGAAATAGTGGTGTGAACAGAGGTGATCTACGTAGTAGACACCATAGTGGTTTAAACTCTGAACATCGCTGCTGCTACAATAGTTCTGTTTTGTACTTCCTTTCAGACATACAGAAAGGAGCCAGGTGGAGCTGTTCATGAGCCATGCACAAGGTTTCATAAACGGGCTTTTAGCCCTTTTGACAAGTATGTTTCTGAATACATCTGCCAAAGTTGTGTTCAAAGAAGCCTGTAGTAGTGCATTTCAATGTTAATTTGGCCTGCTGCAGCAGGTATGACTCGCACATCTGCAAGATAATGCAGCACAGTGCATACACACAAACTATCCACACATACAGTCTGGATTTTTGGCTTAACTGTAAATTTTTTACTTTGACTTTGCACAAAAAGTATTACCAAATCGACATAAAAGCATTGCCATCTATGCAAGTAGCATTCTCAGTATAGGCTGGCAATGAGTGTGCAAAGTTCAACCATCCACTGGTTCTATAGTTTCTTGTAAACATTTATAAATAGAAGGCCAGGGTTCTTGGAAGCTGATACATGGTAATGAATGGACCGCAACTCCAAAATTTTTCCGTTTTCTCACCTTTGTACGCGAGGTGGCATAGTCAACTTGTTTAGGAAGCACCTATGTCTTGTCACTAAGCAGCAGTCAACAAGCTCTGTGTCTGAACATGTTGCATGGAAAACTTAAGCAACAACCTCTTTACATTGTTTAGGTTTTGGTGACCATTTTTCATTTTTTCCCACGAAATTTGCGTGGCAATCTTTGCAATATACTTTACCGATGACCTCACTTAAATCTTCAGTGCTTTTATGTATACGTGTATAGGTGTTTTGCAAATTATTTGTGTTTTCCTTTTTCCTTCATTGTTCTTATGAAGTATATATATATATATATATATGTGTGTGTGTGTGTGTGTGTGTCTGTGTGTGTGTGTGTGTGTATGTGTGTGTGAATCATATGCGCATGCATATCAGTACATAACTGCGCATTGTACATTTTAATGTACTTGAAGTGCCTAATATATTTCTTTTCGTTTTTTTTCTCGTTATTTATTTTTAGCAAGTGTATAATTAGGTACATTTGACCTTGTAGTGCACCTGCGCCCGTAGTGATTGCACTATGATATCAATTTGAAACCGTTTAGCGACTTGTAGTATGCATTTGTTCCCCACTTTTATCAGGTGCCATACCCTGTCGTTTCGCCGCCGATGGGTGGCTGGGGCTTGGTCAAGCTGTCATTGGACAGCTTTTTTCCCGGCCACCTTTTTTCACTGTAATGTTTTTGTTTTGTTAAAAATAATGTTCTTTGGTTGATTGATTGATTGATTGATTGATTAATATATGTTCACGGAACGCACACCTGTGCATGATCGGAAGAAAGTCTTCTACAAAGTACACTGAGGTATCACAACACCACTTTTGTTGGGAATATAGGCAGAAAGAGTTCAGAGGTTCAAAGACTGCAAAGGGGGGATGCTGCTATTGCCACTGGTGCAGCTTGTTTCAAGACTGAGTTTAACTGTTGGCCAACAACGCATAGCTTCTATATAAACAGTGCGTGAAAGTAGCATGGAGACAGATAGGAGGGAGGGGGCTTAAAATATCGGTTTATTTGTTGTAGACCCCTAATTTTCAAGAAAACGTGTTCACAAGGATGTATATTGCTAAAGAACTGGTCCACCTTCACTGACTTGTTGCCAACATATGCTGCAACTGCCACCTTCATAGGTGGGAACACTTCTGTGCACCTTTATTAATTGCAAGTCCAAGTAAACTTTTTCCACTCATTATTTCACACGTAGTTTGGAACATCTTTGCATGTACAGATTGGCTCAACAAAAAGAAATCTGAAAATGGGGAAAGGGAGAATGTTTTGTGAACTTAGCATGGGTAAATTTTTACCTTGTTGGTGTAACATTTTCATAACGTTCAGCGTAGCACTTCAAATCACCAAGATAGGACAGTTTGTGTATGTTCGGCCTGCCCTATCTTCGTCATTTCAGTGCCACAATTAGCTCTATTGTAGTGGAGCATACGCACCAACGCGTATGCGCCTTCGGAAGACAACGAAATGCCCGTGCTCTGACTGCGCGAGAACCTGTGCCGCCTTTGCCAGACTTGCTGTTCGCCCATTTTCCGTCGCGACCTCGTCGCGACTCCTCTGTTCGAATAAACATCATCGCATTTGGTGGAGGGTCTGAGATCCCTAAGCAGACCTGGAGCTCCGCTCTCGCAAGTTGGCCAAAAGACCACCGTACAACATGACTGACGCAGTCGCCAGCCAGCCCATCCTAGCACAGCCAGCACCATCGGCTGCCCCGTCGACCTGCTCCGGTGCTACCCGTCAGCGGGACCCACCAATCTTCAGCGGCAGTGGTGAGCAAGACGTCGAAGACTGGCTCTCCTTGTACGAACGCGTGAGTGCCAGCAACAAATGGGACAACGACTCTAAGCTTGCCTATGTTATCTTTTACTTAGCTGACGTCGGCAAGCTATGGTTCACCAACCGCGAAACCGCCATCGCCAGCTGGTCCACCTTTAAGACCCTCGTGACCTAAGCGTTCGGCCGACCAGAGGTCCGCAAGCTCCGCGCTGACCAGCGTCTGCGCCACCGAGCCCAGCAGCCTGGCGAGACCTTTACTGATATATCGGAGATTATCAGGTGCACGCGCCGAAGAACATATTGATAACACGTGCCTCCACCCCTCGCCACGGCGCATGCTCCGGCCTCGGGCCAGGGTATTAAAACCAAGACAGCAGCCTCGTGAATAAACATTGTTCCTTCTTGTTCTGGCCATGCATCGTCTTATTCTTCGCCCTTACGATACTACAGTGGCGACGAGGATGGGATCCGGTTAATTGCACTCCGACGCTGAGACCAGAAGAATGGGATCCCGACCCCCTGCCTTCGACGACGCCGTCAGTAGCTGGAGCACGTATCGTGTCCGGTTGGAAGCCTACTTTGAGGGCAACGATATTACCGACGTAGCGAAACGCCGGGCCCTACTGGTTTCATCGTTGAGCGACAGTGTCGTCCGGATATTGCAAGGGCACCAGCCGGGGTCGCCATCAACTCCTTGAAGTACGATGACGTTGTGAAATGCTTGGAAGAACATTTCAACCCTCAGGCAAACGAAATAGCAGCAAGCTATTCTTTCTTTATGCGAAAACAAGATGAGCAAGAAAGCGTCCGGGACTACATTGCTGAACTGAGAAGACTGGCCGTAAATTGTAATTTCGGGGCGACACTGGACCGTATGTTGCGGGACCGAATCGTTTGTGGGATTCGGGATGAGGAAACGCGCCGGTGCCTGCTGGGCCGCAAGAACTTGACTCGTGAAGAAGCCGAAGAATTCGCCTTAGCTTCTGAGAAAGCGAACGAAGACGCTCGGGGTATGCGTACTTCATACGCCCGGACCGAAGGTGGCGGCGTCAACGTGATACAGCAACAAGGCAGACAGTGGAGGAAGAATTGCAGCCTTTCATGCGACAGATGCAAAGGGGCGCATGCAACGGCGTCCTGTCGACATCGCAGATCCATCTGCCATCAATGTGGTAAAAGAGGGCATCTTGCTAGGGCTTGCAAAAGACCCCACACCCCCAGATCAGGAACGTTCGCTGTCGACGGAACCGAATGTGAAAGCGAAGAAGAGAGGTTGTATGCTCTCGTTGCACACAGTTCCGCCAATAAGCACTTGGTGCAGCCACTCGAGCGCACCTTAACGTGGGAAGGCCGTAGGCTGCGAATGATTGTCGATACTGGATGACCAGTAAGCGTGATTCCCAAAAGCTTGTACAAGAAGCATCGCAAGTGGTGGCCGGCTCTGCAAAAAACTCCACTACGCCTTTCATGTTTCCTGGGACCGTTGCCGGTCGTTGGCAAGGTAGACATGCAGGTACAGCTTGGACCAGTAACGGTGAGCAGTTCGCTGATAGTAGTGGACCATCGAGGGCCCCTTTTGTGCGGAAGGGACACGATAGAGGAATTTCGCAAAGCAGGCATGTTGCTAGTAGAAGGCACGTCGTCTTCGGTGAATGTTGTTCACGCCGACAGCCAGCTAATCGCACTTCTTGACAAGTTTCCGGACCTCTTTGAGAACCTCGGATGCTGTAAGGGACCACCGGTGAAGCTGTACCTCAAGGAAAGTGCGCAACCTCGATTTCTGAAGGCTCGGACAGTCCCGTATGCCATGAGAGCGCAAGTCTCCGCCGAAATTGACCGACTGGTGGAAGTGGGCGTGCTGTCCCCAGTGAGCGTGGCTGAATGGGCAACACTGGTCGTGCCCGTAGTAAAGAAGAACGGAGACATCCGGCTGTGTGGGGACTTTAAGCTAACAGTTAATCCAGCGACAAGAACAGAGCAGTACCCGCTTCCGAAAATTGACGACATCTTTGCGGCGCTATCAGGAGGCGAAGTGTTCAGCACACTCGACTTACAAAACGCATACAACCAGCTTCCCCTGGATGATGATGCTAAGAAGATAACTATGTTGAATACACACAAAGGCCTCTTCTGCTACAACCGCTTGGCTTTTGGCATTGCCTCAAGCGCCTGCGCTGTTTCAGCGGCGCATAGAAGCCGTGCTGCAGGGTATACCAGGGGTGAAAGTTTACCTGGACGACATTATTGTAGCAGAAAAAGAGTATGACACAACGATACTGCGGCAAGTGTTCGAACGACTTCGGGCGAACGGCCTAACACTGAACAAGGAGAAGTGCCACTTCCGGGAGAAAGAAGTGGTATTTCTAAGGCACCGAATCGATGCAAAAGGCCTCCACCCACTGCAGGACAATTTGGAAGCAGTGCTAGCGGCACCGCCACCGACTTCGGTAAGCCAGCCTAAATCATTCTTAGGACTGGTCACATACTATTCCCAATTTCTACCGAACTTGTCGTCCACTTTGGCCCCGTTACACCGACTCTTGTCTAAAGGAGCACTGTGGTGTTGGGGGCCCACACAGAGAACAGCATTCCAAGAAACCAAGCGCGCCATGAGAAGGGCGAACTTTCTTGTGCATTACGACCCCCAAAGACCCTTGCGGCTTGAGTGTGATGCGTCGGCCGAGGGTATAGGCGCAGTTTTGTCGCACCGCATACAAGGAGTGGATCATCCCATAGCGTTTCGCTCGAGAACTCTAACGTCGGCGGAACGTAATTATTCACAATTGGAAAAGGAGGAACTAGCGCTGGTCTTCGGCGTTGTAAAATTTCGAGATTATTTGTTTGGCAACAAGTTCACTCGGGTGACCGATCACAAGCCTCTGACTGGTTTGCTAGGTCCAGATAAACCCATTCCGCAAATGGCAGCGGCCCGCATTCAACGTTAGGCGCTGCTCTTAGCAGCTTATCAATACGACTTGAAATACAGAAAAGGAGAGCTAAATGCAAATGCCGACGCTCTAAGCCGGTTGCCATTACCGGTTCGCGATAATGGCTGGGAAATTGAACTAGCCGAATATGTCCTGCATGCGCAGGCTATGGATGATTTTGTTTTGTCTGCGCAGAGTATTTCAGACCTCACCAGCAAAGATGACGTACTTCAGCAAGTGAAGACTTGGATCTTGCAAGGCTGGCCAAGGCGTCTCGGTTCAGAGGAACAGCAGTACCAACCGTATTTTGCACGGAGGCATGAATTGGCCGTGAGTAACGGGATACACTACTGGGGCCACCGTGTGGTTCTGCCTAAAGCTGCCCGGCAATTTGTTTTGAAAGAGTTGCACGATACGCACCCAGGCATGACGGCAATGAAGAACCTCGCGCGCTCAATTTTCTGGTACCCAGGGCTAGACGGTGAAATTGAAATGCTTGCAAAACGGTGTCCCCAATGCGTGCAGTGCTTGCCCATGCCCCCAGCGCAGGTCCCGGCAAACTGGCCAAAGAAGAACAGACGGTGGTACCGCCTACACGTGGATTTTGCTGGTCCCGTGGAAGGGCATATGATCTTCGTCCTCGTCGACGCCGAGACTAAGTGGATCGAAGCAGTGCCATTGAAGACGGCGACAGCAGCGACTACGGTAGACACACTTAGGTGCATTTTCGCGCGATTTGGCATACCACGGACTGTCATGTCGGATAATGGTCCACAATTCACCAGTGCAGAGACAGCGCGGTTCTTCCGGGAAAATGGGGTGCGCCACGTAACGACGGCCCCATACTACCCGCAATCCAACGGTTTGGCGGAACAGGCAGTACGCACCATCAAGGAGGGCCTGAAGAAAAATCGGGTGGGAACGCTGCAAAGTCGGCTTGCCAAATTTTTGTTGCGTTACAGGACAACACCGACCCGAGAGGAGCAGTCGCCCGCGGAAAGGCTTTTTGGATTCCAACCACGGACCCGCCTGAGCACCTACCTGGCAGAGGAAGACGGGGCGAAGAGGGAGGCTACCGTCAACGGAGTTCTGAACTCTGGAAAGAAAGAGTTTGCACCAGGAAGGGAGGTGTGGAGTCGACAGTACAGTCAGCTAGGTCAAAGGTGGCTACCCGGAACCGTGACAACAGTCGAAGGCAAACGATTGTTAACCGTTAACACGCCAAGGGGGGTGCAACGTAGACACGTCGATCAAGTACGACCACGCGACTCGTCGACACCGGTTAAGAAAGAACCGTGCGAAACGCCAATGGCCATGGAGCAATTGCCACTCTCATCCAGCGGCATCCAGTCAACTAGCAGCGAAGCCCTTCAGGCCGGTCTGTCCGAGCCTGGTGAGGAAGCGTCTGGCGGTGGCATCGAGCCAGCAAGTCCAAGGTCCACGGCAGAACCACTCCCACTCCGACGCTCCACCCGTGCCCGCAAGCCGCCGGATAGGTTTTAGCTAAAAGGGGAGGAAGTGATATATCGGAGATTATCAGGTGCACGCGCCGAAGAACATACCGATAACACGTGCCTCCACCCCTCGCCACGGCGCATGCTCCGGCCTCGGGCCAGGGTATTAAAACCAAGACAGCAGCCTCGTGAATAAACATTGTTCCTTCTTGTTCTGGTCATGCATCGTCTTATTCTTCGCCCTTACGATACTACATTTACTAGCTATATTGAGGATGTGCTCGACCTCTGCAGGCGTGTTAACTCATCCATGCCTGAAGAAGAGAAAATTCGACATATTCTCAAAGGCATCGAGGATGGCGCATTCCTGATGTTGCTGGCGAAAAGCCCGACTACGGTGGCAGTCTTCGTAAGCCTGTGCCAGAGCTTCGATGAATTGCGTCGTCAGCATTCTATCGCCTGACAGAGTGTCCCATCACCAGATTCAATCTCGGCCGTCGCACTCGCAAATGGCAACGTTCACCAAGGAACTCTGTCGAACCAGATTAAAGACTTCATCAGGGAGGAAGTCGCCCGACAGCTCTCCCTGCTGCCGCATAGCGACGCGCCCACGACAAGCCTTCCTTCGAATATGCAGCAGGCCATACGCACTGAAATTTGCAATGCCCTTCATACAGTTCCGGCCTCTTACCCATGCACTTCGGTGCCATCTGATCTCTTAGCTGCTGGCTACGCACCAACTGCGCCGCCTTCACCTCTCCGTTACGCAGCTGTGGTCGCGCCCCCCCCCCCCACCCGCATCCAGTCGCCTTATCGGCTCCACCTCCTCCGGCCTCGCCTCCAGCTTACAGGCTCCCACCTCACTTTTTCGGTCCAGCTAATGAGTGGCACACCCGAGACAATCGTCCCATCGGCTTCGCGTGTGGCATCGCTGGCCACATTGCACGCTTCTGCCGCCGCCGTCCCACACCTGCGCACGCATACTTCGAAGCTCCTACCTACGCACCGCAGGCGACCACCACATCTGCATATGAACAGAGGCACTCCGACTCGGATCGCCACCCATCGACTGCTCGTTTCCCATAATCTCGTCGCCGATCGCCATCGCCTATGCGTCGTCGGGCACCTCCTAAGGAGGGAAACTAATCAGTGCAGTTCCGCAGGCAAGAACTGCACCTTGTGCGCAATTCCTAAGGCCTCCATTTTCGCCGCCAAATGTTGTTGATGTCGATGTTGAGGGAGTCGCCACATTAGCGTTAATTGATACCGGGGCCGCCGTTTCTCTGATGAACGCAAAACTTTGTAGGAAACTGAAGAAAGTGACCACATCTCTCAGTGGCTTGGTGCTGTCCACGGCTAGCGCGCAACGCATTCATCCCTCGGCTGTGTGTACGGCGTGCGTCGTCATCCGAGACGTTTTGTACGTCGTACAGTTTTTTTGTTCTACCATCTTGCTCTCATGACCTTGTCCTGGGTTGGGATTCCTTATCACGTCATGAAGCTATCATCGATTATTCCCGTGCTGAAGTGTCCCTTGTGCCAACATGTCAATTTACACCACCCGACCGCTCTCCTCTGCTCTGCAAACTCATCGCTGATGACGACATCACCTTGCCTCCTGAAGCTTCGGTCCCTATTAGCCTTTCATGTGTGGCGCAACCTGACGGCACGGTGGTGTTTACGCCATCTCCAGTTTTTACTGAACGCAAGGGCATCGTTCTCCCATTTGCTGTTCCTACAATTGCGTCTGGTTTAACCGTAATGCTGGTCACCAACCTCTGCAACTACCCCATTGGCTTACTTCGTGGTGAAACGTTAGCATATGCCCAACCTGTCGACCATATCGATGATATTATTCTTCTCGACGAAACGCCATGTCACATTGCTGCAATCACTCATGCGTCTGAGCCATCAAGTTCGTCAGCCTTCGACAATGCTATTGACGCAGACCTTCCCCTCTCGCATCGCCGCCAACTTGTTGCTCTCCTTAACAAGTTTCGTTCTTCTTTCGACTTTCAAGAACCTGCTTTGGGCCGCACCACGACTATCACTCATACTATTGACACCGGCTCACATTCGCCTCAGCGACAGCGTCCTTACCACGTTTCCGCCGAAAAGCGCCGCGTAATCACGGAGCAAGTAGATGACATGCTGAAACGTGGAGTCATACAGCCTTCTCAAAGCGCTTGGTCATCACCTGTAGTTCTGGTCAAGGAAAAAGATAGCACCGTACGATTTTGCGTGGACTATGGCCGCTTAAACAATAATACGAAAAAAGATGTCTACCCGCTACCACGAATAGACGATGCTCTTGACTGTTTACAAGGGCCCGAGTACTTTACATCTATGGATCTGCGTTTTGGGTATTGGCAGGTGCCAATGGCTGAGTGTGATCGCCCTAAAACAGCCTTTGTAACGCCGTATGACCTATATGAATTCAAAGTCATGCCATTTGGGCTCTGCAACGCACTTTCCACATTTGAGCGCATGATCGACATCATCTTGCGGGCCCACAAGTGGAAAACCTGCTTATGTTACCTGGACGACATCGTAGTCTTTTCGTCTGATTTCCCGACACATCTTGCTCGCCTCCACGAGATTCTGACGTGTCTAACTTCTGCAGGCCTACAACTTAACTCCAAGAAGTGCCACTTCGCCGCACAAAAACTAACCATCTTGGGACATGTCATCATAAGAGACGGTGTTCTTCCGGATCCCGATAAGCTTCGAGCTTTCGCTGACTTCCCGTTTTCCACATCACTGAAAGCCCTAAGAAGATTCGTCGGTCTCTGCTCCTACTTTCGTCGCTTCGTGCGCAACTTCGCGTCCATCATCGCACCTCTCACGAGCTTGCTTTCCAACAGCAAAGGCATATCTGCATGGTCACCTGAATGTGACGACGCATTTCGCCAGCTGCGCCGCCTGCTGACCTCACCACCTATTCTTCGTCACTTCGGCTCTGCTGCGGCCACAGAAATTCACACCGATGCGAGTGGCATCGGTCTTGGTGCAGTTTTGGCACAATGGAAAGGCACCCAAGCTGAATACGTATCGCCTATGCAATTCGCGCTCTCAAGAAGGCTGAATTGAATTACTCCGTGACAGAAAAGGAGTGTTCGGCCATAATCTGGGCGTTGACAAAGTTTCGCATGTACCTTTACGGCCGTCCTTTACGGCCGTCCATAGAGCGTGGTGGTCACAGACCACCACGCTCTATGTTGGCTGTCCACCTTGAAAGACCCGTCCGGACGCCTGGGGCGTTGGGCACTTCGATTGCAAGAATACGACATCCGTGTCGTATACCGTTCCGGTCACAAGCATGCGGATGCCGATGCACTTTCGCGATCGCCATTAACACAAGATGTGGCTTCTCTGTCTCCCCCTTTTACCACCTTGTCACCACTCGACACGACTGACATGCTTTCGGAGCAGCGTAAAGACCCATACCTTGCCTTGTTAGTCGACTACCTTACCGATCCGTCTGCTGTCCCTTCCACGAGAGCGCTACGCCGGCAAGCAGCCCACTTTTCCTTACAAGACGACATTCTGTACCACCGCAACTACATGCCTGGCGGTCGGAAGTGGCTCCTTGCTGTCCCAACTCATATGCGCATCTGCATGAATTTCCATGCAGATCCCAAAGTGCTCACGCAGGTGTCCTGAAAACCTACGAAAGGCTGCGCCAACGCTATTACTGGCGAGGAATGTATCGCTTTGTGCAGAAATACGTTCAATCTTGCACCACTTGCCAACAGAACAAGACACCTCCGCGGCACCTTACTGGCATGTTACAGCCGCTCCCGTGCCCGGCTCGCCCATTCGACCGCGTGGGTATAGACCTCTATGGCCCCCTCCCTTATAGTACCTCTGGAAACCAGTGGATTATTGTTGGAGTCGTTCATCTGACACGCTACGCTGAGACTGCAGCTCTACCGGCAGTGACCGCCCACGAAGTTGCACTCTTCATTCTCCGCAGCTTCATTTTACGCCATGGTGCTCCGCGAGAATTACTCAGTGATAAGGGTCGAGTGTTCCTGTCGGAGGCCATCCAAGCTATCCTCGCTGAATGCAACATTATCCACCGGAAATCTACCGCATACCATCCACAGACAAATGGTCTTACTGAGCGGTTCAACCGCACACTTGGCAACATGCTGAGGATGTACACCTCCTCCGACCACACTAACTGGGACGCTGTATTGCCCTTTGTTACCTTCGCTTATAACACCGCGACGCAAGCGACTACCGGTTTTTTCCCGTTCTTTTTATTGTACGGCCGCGAACCTTCCCACCCACTCGACACTATACTACCGTACCGCCCTGATGCATCTGAGTGCTCCCCGCTTTCGGAAGTCGCCAGATACGCTGAAGACTGCCGTCAGTTGGCTCGGTCTCTGACAACTGAGGCTCAAGGTGTACAAAATACTCGACACGACGACACTCACCGCATAGCTCCTACATTTCGTGCTGGCTCTCTTGTGTGGCTTTGGGTGCCCCCGCGCGTTCCTGGCCTGTCTTCTAAACTTCTGGCCCGGTACCATGGTCCCTACCGTGTCATTGACGCGACCTCCCTGGTGAATTACATCATCGAGCCATTAACACAATCACCAGATTTGCGCCGTCGAGGACGCGAGACCGTACACGTCGACCGTCTCAAGCCCTACTACGACCCCCTCATTGTACCTACTCCCTGAGTCGCCAGGATGGCTACCCTTCACCCCGGGGGTATTGTAGTGGAGCATACGCACCAACGCGTATGCGCCTCCGGAAGACAACGAAAAGCCCGTGCTCTGATTGCGCGAGAACCAGTGCCACCTTTGCCAGACTTGCTGTTCGCCCATTTTCCGTCGCAACCTCGTTGCGACTCCTCTGTTCGAATAAACATCATCGCACTATAAGCATGTCATTCGCTCTTTGTGCCATTGTTTGCTGCATACTCTATTCTTGTGTTCTTTGTGTAGAGTTTCGTTCAACTGGATTCCTGCTCAATTTGGTGCTGTATACATTACAAACAGGTACTTTAGAAAGCTAGCCATGAATGACTGCATT